GCTTTCTGACTCAGCTCTCTCTTCACCACGACGGACCGGTACAGCGCCCGCTTTACAGCAGATGCTGCGCCAATCCGCCTATCGATCTCCCGCTCCCTTCTTCCCCCATTCGAATGGGGGAATGGGGGATAAATAAATAAATAAATAAATAAATAAATAAATAAATAAATAAATAAACAACAACAAAGCAGCTTCAATTGTTTTGGGAGAATTATCCAACATAAAAATATTCTTTTTCTGTCTGTTGTGGACCTTCTCACCACCTAGTGGTACAACATGGTTATTACAGCTTTTAAGAATAATCTGGACTGAGACTATTTTATTATTATTAACAAAGCAAACACTTTCATTTGTAGAATATCAGGAATAGTGTTGATGAGGCCTCAGGTTGTTGCCTATACATGCTTGGATTATACATAAGTGTTTGTTCATCTGAGAAAATAAACTATTCAATTACTGTCATGGGGAAAAGAAAGTATACTTTTCTTTAATTCTAGGGTTTTACTTCAAGGAACTGAAGCTACAAAAAAAAAATGTGGGCCAAAATTACTCCACACCATGTGAGACAATGTGAAAGTCATACTGAGGCTTACTGCCATCACACTATGGGTTGAACTTAAGCTTGTCACACACAAATCTATTACAGTCCAATAAAAAAACGATAATGACAACAGAATCTGCTGTGTGATGAACACTGAACATTTAAGATTAGATTTGAGCAATTTTAAAACCTGATAAAAACCAGATAAACTGTAATAAAAAGAAGATGAACTTTAATTTTTCCCACAACTGTTTTAATCTAACTTGATTCAAGGTTAAAACACAATAGTTTGGTTTCTAAGAGTCTCTCAGAGTCCAGCACATTCCCTGTCCATATCTAGCAGTCACTGAGTGAGGGGGCGGAGTTCACCATGGTCCATCACACGACCACATAAAAACAAACAACCATTCACTCTCTAACTCACACCAAGAGACAATTTAAAATACCAATTAGCCTAACTTTCATGTATTTGGTCTGTGGGAGAAGTCCAACTTGTGAACGAACATTCAAACTCTACCTAGAATTCCAGCTGAGATTCAAATGTCTCACTGAGAGGCACCTGATGCTAAGAGGGTATCTTCTGCAGTCGTTTGTATCTGAAAGATGATCTGAAAAAGCTAATTTGCTGTGCAGTGGGATCAGGTTTGTTTATTTTTAGTGCAGGGGTGTCAAACTCATTTTCAACGAGGGCCACGTGAGCGTTATGGTGGCCCTCAAAGGGCCAGTTGTGGTAAACTTTCACGTTTTCTGTTTAACTTGGATTAAAAACGGCACGTCGAGGTCCTCGTCTCTTTGCCACGGCTGAGCACAGCTAACAAACAATAACTGAGCTCTACGTGGTATTTCTTGCATGGAAACAGTGTTTAACATGTCCTCGTATAAACACTGAAAAGTACTGTGCAGTGTTTGCTAAATGTAAAATAAATAATTCAGAGTACCATTAAAAGTGAAAGTAAGCAAGTTTTACTCATTGAGTCGTGGTGAGCAGCTGCCATCTTGAATTCTGTCCTACTTTCCGACAGGGAGCTCGCACTGGACGGGCATTCCAGTTTTCTTGTACAACCAGTACAACTGGGCCGCAGCAAAAGTAGTCAGTGAAGATGTAGCAAAATGGAAATTTTACATGG